TGGATGTAAATGAGGGCTTTCTGTGTCATTTCCTTTTATGACTACCTGAAAATACTGTCTGGTCCCATTCAATCTTTTGACAGCTACTCAAAGGCACTATTTGGCTCAAAGAGAAAAGAATATATTCATATCCTCATTTTCCCACATTAGAGTTGCTCTTAGAATGTGCATTTTCTGGGCCAGCCCATGGCTCACTTGGGAGAGTGTGGTGCTGACACCACCAAGTCAAGGGTTAAGATCCCCTTACCAGTCATCTTTAAAAAAAAAAAAAAGTGTGCATTTTCTCTCCAATACATAGACACACATAGACATTAGACTATAAACTTGAAGGCAAAGTCTCTCTGTAATAATTACTATGTAATTTCAAGCCCCAGTACAGCATAAAGTGCTATGTTATTCCATAAATATTCATTGTGTATCTGGCTCATAGACTCAGAGTTCTCACAGCTTCCATGGAAAAGTCTGGATAACAGGTCATTAAGCAGGTTTATAAGGGCAAGAGGAACCCCAGGATCTCCATCCCCGTAAAAGTACCCCAAATGCATGACCACTGAATACCCTCGGTGAGCAGTCTTACCCTGGACTGGACTGAGAAGAAACCCGAATGGGCATTATTTGTAACAACAAGTTGTAACATTGAAACAGTATTTTCACTTTCTAGGCCTCTTGTCCTTCCTGTGTTATCCACCCACCAATCTATCCATGTAGCACACATTCATTGTTTTCTGATTTCAGTTATTCTAAAATTCTTTTAGCTTGAGAGGTATCTGGGAAAATGAAGCATTCAGAAGGTTACAAAGAAAGCCCAACTGTGAACTAGCAGTCTCGTACAGCCACATCCCGGCAGGCCGGACTGTGACTCGAGGAGACCAGTCATGGGGATGGCTCAGTTACCAACAAGGGCTACATGCTGAGTGACGAGAACACCTTCACGTTTCAGAAGCTACAATATCCCCTCTTCAGCGGCTTACACTTTGCTGTTAAAAACAGAATTTGTTATGAGACTTGAAAACTGGTTATGGCTCACATTTGGGGAATACAGTCACTGAGGTAGTTTCTTTTCTTTAAAAATACGTCTTAATGTATTTCTTGACATTCCTTGGTTTATCCAAATGGTGTCCCAGGCAACCCTGGACTTGTGGTCATTACTGGTTCTGAGGTGGTGACTTGTAATCATTGGTAAGCTTGGGTAAGAGGAGAGGAAGAAGAGATCAGTGAGCTTCTTGTTGGGCAGCAGGGGTATACTTGTCAAAAACGTACAGCATCTTTAAAGTTTGGTTTCCCATCACCATTTATATTTTTGAGGAATAGATGTGTCTCTCACTCTGCAGCAGTGTTTCATGACATTTGGATTTACAACGTTCAACTTGAAGTCTCTAGCCCCTTGCAGTCTGTCAAAAACAGCTTCTTTGTCCATTTATTTTTGTCTTCCACACCCAGTCTGAATATCTTTTGTAAATTTATACTTGACAACCCTCGTATTTCAGTAGCTGGCTTCGGTTTCACAATCTACCTTGCTTGCTCAGTTACATTAGCTGAAACAACAAATTTAATCCATGATGTCAATAGTAAATTATAGCAGAGAGGTGATATACATCTGACATCATAAAGGTCAAGGCTACGGCAAAAACACTGCAAATTCTGGAGCTATTGGGTTTGATCAAGCAGCTTTTGCTAAATGCTAACATTATGAAAATCAGATTAGAAAAGCTACATTTGGCTAATCTTATTTTTTTAATATCTTTTTTTTTAATGGAAAATTTCTAAAAGCAGGGAGCTCTTCTGCTCTATACTGCAGTGTGGATTTTTCTCCCATGGACATTGGCTGTGTAATTATATTTTATATTTGGTAGTGGATAAATAATTAAAACGAGAATTACTTTCCTGAAAAGATTCATTTAGAGCACACATTTTCTATTACCATAGCTGTTGGATGGGGGAGGGGACATCGCCTCCTACCTACCTAAACTACCTTGCCATTAAAGTATCTAAATTACCTCGGTGAATTCTGAGCACAGAAGTGGTTGATGAATTGCTTTTGCATAAATGCACTTTCCCTTTGCTAGAATCTAATTTTATGAAACACACTCATGTGTGCACACACACACACACACACACTCACCAGGAGACACCCATATACCAAAGCAAGCACCGAACCCTCTCAAGAAGAAAAATTGAAGGCTGGAATTTTCTCTATATAATGAAGTTTTTTAAAATGTTGCCAGTAATATAAGCATCTCTGAGGAAAGCCCAAATGGTTTCATCTGCTTTAGAGAAAAGCAGTTCATGAATCATTGTTTTCATGCAAAAGTGTTTCATTCCTTTAACTGGTGCTATCAATTGTACTGGCTGATTTTTTTTCAGTATCAAAATTTGATTCTGGCTTAAACTCATTTATTACAAGTAGGAAAAAAATAAAAAATTAAAAAAACCCTTCTGCAGAGTGAGCCCAAAAGACATTCTACAGATCAAAGGGTCTGAGAATCCCATCCCTTTTGTCTTTATAATGTGTTTAAATGATCTGATCTGTCATGGGCAACCCCAGCAGCCAAGGAGTGTTCTTAAGCAGCGACATCTCTCACTTGGCTCAGATGTATTTTCCTTTGTTAATTAGAAGCATTTATTATAGTTTCCATGTGTTCTTGCTGCATGTGTTAGATGTAGGAAAGAATGCAGTCTCTGAGCCCCAAGATACGACGTGGTAGAATAATCTGGTGTTAGGTATTATCTCATGGCAGAATCATTTGCTGTTTGTGTCCCTGAGAAGGGAGAAAATGACTGTAGCCCCTGTGTGCTTATGGTACTGTTTTCCTGAGTGAGTTGCAGCAATTGCTCTATAGAATCTGAAGAAGACAAACAGGCTGGCAGAAAGGATGGCTTCTCCAGTGCCCCTGGTCAGGGCCTCTCTGATTTGCCTGCCTCCATTACTGCGCAGTTTGGCTTTAGGCCAGAGGAGAGAGAAAGGGCAGCCAAGGTGGAGGAATCCCACATGCCTATGCAATTTCTCTGCCTCACTTGCAGCACTTATCACGAGCAAGCTGTAGAAACCTACCCCTCAAATTGACCATGGCTCAAGTCCACATAGCACTCCAAAGAAAGAAAATGACTCCTGAATACCAAGGTTATTGAAGTTAATAACTCTCCATTTTTTTTATTTCAAGATTTCTTTAATTCAGTAATTGATGCCCATGAATATCCTCAGAGAAAAAAATGATATACAATTCTTGCCTTCAAGAACTTTAAAATTGAAAATGATGATAAAATTACCATAGCCCTTTAAGTAGTCGCTCAGCCTTTAACCTCTCTCTGTCACACTGCTGCAAGGCAGGTTGGGAAGGTGGAGAACAGGTTTGTGTCATGCAGGAAAGGCTTAGTCACAGAGTCTACCATGGCACACATTCATATGTTGGCAGCATTACCAGCATTGACTTGTATCGATTTATGTGCCAATGGAGATCACTGTTGTGTGTTGGGTATCTTTCCTTATATCGTCAATATGTGATTGTAATATTTCTTCTTCATAATAAAATAGAAGAATTATTTAATTTTTCTAATTTTTGTTACAAAGTAAAAGAGCATCCTAAAAAGCGGGTTTTGATGATTTCTGAAAGCAGTTCGTATTTTTCTCTATTTTAATCCAAGAGTAAATTTTGTTTCCTGAATGAATGAATAAGTGAAATGTAGTTGGTGCTGTGATCTGCCCATTTGCACTTAATGGACTTCTCTGTCACTCTGGTAGTGAATAGAAGATTGAAAAAATTTATTCTCATGGTTTGGCCTTAAAGACATAGAACCTTGGCCTCTGGGCTACTTAGCTGCTTCTGTGGCTAAACAATGACAATAACTAATAATTGCTGACTGTGTTGCATGTCCTAGGCATGTAATTTTCTGTACCTCATTTTTTACTTGCAACAGCTCTTTGAGTTACATATTTTCCCATTTTACAAAAGAGAAAACTGGGACGTAGCAAGGCTAGGTAACCCTTCAAGGCTACACACACAATAGGTTGGTTGCTAGCCTATGGATTGATTTCCTTTTGGGTCAGGTGTCCACTCCTGCTCCAGAAACTCCTTCATAGATCCAAACCTGACTGCCTCCAAATGCCACCTCCCTCACAACTACCCAATCCTGCCTCATTGCTGGTGTGCATTAAAAAGTTGTGTTCACATAACAAAAATATGGATGATTCTCCCTGCTAATTCTCACAGTTCTGGAATGACAACTCCTGTTGAAATTTAGGAAGCAGTGAATTCCTGGGCTTGCCTCTTCACCCCAAGCAAGCCTGTGAGCTGCTGCTCTTGGTGGGGCACTGGGGGAGGAGACTGGTAAGGTGACAAATGATGGCAGCCTGCTCTAGGAATAAACAAATGCTTCATTACTCCATTAGCTATTTTCCATTGCCTGCTAAGCCTTACATTTTATTAGCACTATTTAGGTTAACGTATGGCTGTACTACTTTACATGTTTACTTTATATTCTTCACGTGATAACATATTTTGGTGTTTAGATCCTCTGTGTGGTTTTCTGAGGCAGGATTGGGTGAGTTTGAGAAGGTAACTCTCCCAGCACTGGTAAGACCACCCCAATCCCTCTTTGTGATGCACCTCTTCTCTTAAGGGGCTGAAAAGGGATGAGTGCATGGCCACCACGAATCAGGAAGGTTTGAAAGGTATGCAGAGTTAGGAGGAAACATACACACTTGCTGCTCAGTCATCTTACGCTGAAGGGAAATCTTGTGGGGTGTATTTAAAGCCACGCTAGACAAGACCCAGGAGCCCCACTTTCCAGCCCTCTACTATGTAAGGTTTTTATGGACATCAACAAAGGAATGTGTATGATGAATGGAAGGAGGAGACTTTCACTCCGACCTTTTAACAGACAGGTGATTATTACAAGATTACACAGCGACTGGAATCAGGAGGGGAAAGCAGCATCCCGGCGTCTCTTCTGGCCACCTCTCTCTCTCTCGGTGACATGGTCTTGATCTCATGGTGTCTGTTCTCTGTGTCCTCCCCATCCTCTGGGTGTGTCTCTTGCTGTCTCCACACTGACTGGCTTCCTTCTGTCTCCTCCCGGGTTTAGAAAATGGTGGCTGAGAAACCAAATATGGCCTGAAGATATGCTTTATTTGGCAAGCTCAATATTTAGGCCAAATTTTGAATTCAAATGTTTTTGGCAAGGTATGTATTATCACCACATACTTGCAAATTTGCACATTCGCTTTAGTCAGATGAAGGCAATTGAGTTTAAAACCACTGTACTCTGTATATATTTTCTCTATTTCCTTCTGCTTATTCATAATTTTTGCTACTTAACCTTCTAGGACTCTTCATTCCCTCAACTTCCATCTAATAATGTGCTCTGCTATATACATACATATATGTACATATATATGAGTATAATATATATAGTCTCACTGCTAACCCTCATTTGATCTGTTTATCTCCATTTGCATTCCTGAGAAAGAACTCTGCTGTACCATACCACATAACAGGTCAGTCCAAGGTATCTTTACTGACATGTTTATTATAAGTGGGAAGGTACTTTGTAACTTGTAAAATAGCATACAAATGTAGGGTGTCCATTATTATTATTGTTATGATGTGGCAGTATATATTAGGGTCATATAGATAGATCTAACTTCTAAAAAAAAAAAAAAAAACTCTTCTGGCTCATGCAATGATTTATTGCTTTGGAGTTTATCCAAAGACCTTAGCTAAGAAACAGAGCACTTAAGCCGTGGCTAATTTTTTTACTGAGGTGAACATACTGGTGGGTCCTCTATGAGCACCTATGCGAGAATAATTTCAGATTCAGACAAATGGCTCAGGTTTTTGGTTGAGTGAGGTAGTCTGTAGGCACAGTCAAGGCAGCCTGGAGATACCTGGACAGGAACAGATCATTTAGGGATAATTTGAAAACTTTTTTTTTTTATTTTGGGGGTACAACAAAGCCATCAGTGTTGAGAAATGTTGTGTGGTCTTTGCTTATGCTTACAAATTTGGCCTGTTTCTCAGGCTTTGATACACCTACCATTTCAATTAACTCAGTAATTCACCTGTTTCATTCTGTTCCAACCTCCTCTGCCAACATGGGATTAGATTAAAAATAAGACAGAAGACCAAACAAGGGGAAATAGAAGTTCTTCCGCTTTCTGCAATCTCTGGGCACCAAGGCTGGATGTGTCTCTCTCAGCATCTCATTCTACAAAGAGATAAAGACAACCATTTTCAGAGAAGCCAAATGAATAGATTGAAAGATGTTATAAATATTTCGACTGAAATAATGTAGCATGTGTTTAGAAAGAATATAGTTTTGGAGATCTCATATCTAGAACTAATTAAGGTTAGTAATTAACTTTGGAAAGAACCCAAAAGCAGAGAAAACAATTAGACAAATGATCTCTTAGTCTAGAAGATGCAAGATTTTGAAAATGCCTGTGCCTCACTTGAATATTTCTTAAGCTCTCTACTAGGAACACTGGAAACCCAAGCCCTGGCCCAATTCATAGGGATGTCACAAAGATAAGAGATCAGAGATGTGAAGACATATCAAGCATTTAGAAAGAAAGGTACTATGTACATACATATACACTCAAGGTATTATTAGCATTATTACCATTACCGATTCTAGCAGGCCTTTTTCTTCAAGAATGCTGAAGCATAGTATCCACTTGTAAAAAGCCTAAGAAGCAAAAACAAACAACAAGAAACAAGACAAAGCAAGCAATAAATCCTTTGAGTCAACCCAGGAGTGCCTGGGTCCAGCATCCTTTTATCTGTGTGGGAGCTCTGCTCTTCTGAAGACTGAAGAGGGCTGAGCCCAAAGCTTAAGAGCAACATTGTAATGAAACCAAATCACTGGGCTCACAAAATTGTGTGCGTTGGGGCGGGTGGGGGAGAGTGTCAATTAATCCCTTCCGGAGCCCACAAAATGAGGCAAAGAGCCCTAACATGGAAGGGTTGAGTCTCTGTGGGTGCTAAGAATTGTAAGGCGATACTGCCAACTGATCTGCCGCAGGTGTGCAGGTGGTAATGCCTTTACACCAATACCAGAAAGGCAGGGATTGGAGCAGTTAGCAAATGTTAAAAGGCATACATGGGTACTTAAAAATGTTTGCAGAACAATGGGATTAAAAGATAATGCAAATCTTTCCATGAACCTTTTGAGATACCCTCATATTTACTATTGCCATCATTTGAATTTTTGTATCTGCCTAGGATTTTTTTAAGACTGTCTTCTAGGCAACTAATAACTAACTAGAAAAGCCTGATCAAATTTAAGTATTTTACTTTTAGTAGCAGGTTTTCTTTGGGAGGGGAACATGGACAATATAGGCATTTGTAATAAAAAAGAGTCAGCTGTTAAAAAAGGATGATAACGGTGATATATAGTTATATACATCTCATTCCCAGCAGTGTTAAGTGTTAATTCAACAGCTGTGGAGCACTGTGTGGAAACAATATCGAATCGGGACGTTATGACTAGAGAGAGGGGAAAGGACTTGGAGAAATGGGAGAGAAGAAATTTAGCGATTACAGTCTTTAAATCAGAAATTCTGAGTTGCAGAGAATCCCAGGTATCATCTAATCCAGTGATTCTCAAACTTTAATGTGTACACGAATCATCCAGAGGTCTTGTTTAAATACAGATTCCGATTCAGAAGGTGGGTGAAGGGTGCTGAGGTTCTGCTTTGCTAACCAGCTCCCAGGTGATGGGTGCGCAGACCACACATGAGCAGCAAGGTCTCCTCCATCCCCTACCTGATAAACCAGCCCTTTCAACCCAAAACACCTTCTATATCTGGTACGGGCTACAGAGTTCACATAGCACTTTCAGTTGTCCTGCCATTTGATTTTCATAATCCTGTGAGTTGGGGCACATATTATTATTCCATCTTCTAGCACTTTCAGTTGTCCTGCCATTTGATTTTCATAATCCTGTGAGTTGGGGCACATATTATTATTCCATCTTCTCCCAACCCTGCTGCTTTTGCCCATTTTACAAATGAGAAAACCAATGTTTAGTTAAGTTGGACAAAGGAGCACTTTCAGGTGTCCTGTCATTTGATTTTCATAATCCTGTGAGTTGGGGCACATATTATTATTCCATCTTCTCCCGACCCTGCTGCTTTTGCCCATTTTACAAATGAGAAAACCAATGTTTAGTTAAGTTGGACAAAGCCTTGTGGTTGCAAAGAGAGCATCCCAGACTAAGTTCTTCCTACTCCTAGCCTAGATCTCTCTTCTCAGGGGGGATGTACTTGGGTGTAGATACCAAATAAATAGGTAGAGAGTGACATCTAGTTAGAGGAAAAGTATTGTGGTAATTTGTGGAGTGTTTCTTCTGTGAAGGTTAAATGTTCTTTGTATGTATTACTATACGACCCGTTAGGGGACTTGATTTTCTTTTATTTATTTATTTATTCATTTGTTTAAGGTACCCTTTTAAGGATATGTTGAAAGGTATGGACCCTCCTCAGAAGATTACACTCACACTCAAATGTCAAGGGTCATGAACTCCCTTGAAACCTGTATCACTACATCCCAGGATAAGGAGCCTGTCTCTGGTAAAAGCTGCTTTTCAATTTCTTGCTCAGCTAGTATCTTGAATTCTCCAGCTAGAAAAAAATGTATTGCTTTCTCTGTATCTTCTTTTATTCTCTTGGAGATTATGATTATGGGTGACATAATTTATGCATAAACTACTACACGATGGCACCCAAAATATTATTATTGCTGTGTTTCCTCCCTCCCTTCCCTCTTTCCTTTTCTCCTTGCTCCTTTCCTCCTTTCTCTCTTTCCCCCTGCCCCTTTGTTTCAATCATATCACACCCCTTTCTTTGGTTGAACCTGTCATCTATTAAGATGCCAGTGTCTTCCCCTGGGTTCCCCCAAAAGTAGACTCTGATGACTAGAACTGTGTGCAGGGGGTGGGTTTGGAGATGATTACAGGGATCAGGGGTGAGAATCAGGGAGGGTTACATGGGGAAAGAGGAAAAGCCTCTCAAAAGCACCTTATTGAGTTGATTCCTGCTGGGGACAAGTGGACCACCGTGTCAGGACCATCTGAAGATACAGAATGCTTCTCAGGATTGCTCATAATGAAAACCCATAGCAACAAATGCATTTACTCATTCTCCTTCGTGCCTGCTGGTTAGAGATAACCTAAGCAGGCTTCTCGAGGTCTGGTTCCTAAGATCCCAGGGCTTTGTCCACTTCTTCTAGGTTATCCAATAATTGTTTATAGTAGTCTCTCATCCTTTTTATTTCTGGGGCATCGATTGTAATGTCTCTTCTTTTGTTTCTGATTTTATATATTTGAATATTTTCTATTTTTTTCTTAGTAGAGCTAAAATTTGTCAATTTTTTATTGTTTAAAAAAACCAACTGTTAAGTTTTGTTGATTTTCTTCTATTGTTTTTTCTATTCTCTATTTCATTTATTTCTGCTCTAATCTTTATTATTTCCCTCCTTCTGCTAAATTTGGGCTGTTTGTTCTTTTGCTAGGTCCTTGTAAAGGATGCAAAGCCAGGTTGTTTACTTGCGATCTTTCTTCTTTTTTAAAGTTTATTATTATAGAAGCAGAGATTAGAGTGGTGGTTGCCAGGGGCTGGAGATAGGGGAAGGTGTGGAGTTGTCCAATGGGTATAAAGTTTCAGTTCCGCAAGATGAATAAGTTCTAGATGTCTGCTGTATAATGTAGTACCTATAGTTAATACTGTATTGAGCACTTAATTTTAAGAGGGTTGATCTCATGTTAGGTGTTCTTACCACAAAAACAAATGAATGAACAAACAAAAACACACAAAGAAACATGAGAAAACTTTTGGAGGTGATGGCTGTGTTTATTATCTTGCTTGTGGTAATGGTTTCATGGGTTTATGCGTATGTCCAAACTCATCAAATTGTACACATTAAATATGTGCAGATTTTTGCATATCAATTATACTTAATAAAGCTGTGAAGAAAAAGGAGAAGACGAAGAAGAGGAAGAGGAGGAGGAGGGAGGAGGGAGGAGGAGAAGGAGGGAGGAGGGACGAGGGAGAAGGGAGGAGGAGGAGGGAGAAGGAGGAGGAGGAGAAGGAGGGAGGAAGGAGGAGGAGGAAGGGAGGAGGAGGAG